GAAACAAATGGAAGCAACACTGCACCAGACTCAGAGTAAGAATTCTGCCCCAACTTCTGTAACTCAGAAAGGTGGCAAGGTAATTTAAAACTTTATCAAATAAAGTATCTGAATTGATTGAATCTTGCAAAATTCATTGTTTGAATTTGCAATGTCTTCTTGTATTTTCTAGAAGAGAGTCAAACGCATTGTTGTTCCACCCAAAGTTCAAACAGACCCAGTGGAATACCCTCCCTATGTTGCCAGAATTATGAGGATCCTCAACAGACAAAAACAGGTAGGTGTAATAAATACATGTATCTGAAATCAATGCAATAAAGGTCAAGAAGTAAAATTCAGAATTGAAAAAGCAAGTTTGATATCGCATGGTGTGATTGTTTTCAGGGTCACGGGGAATCTACTGATGATAACAAGGAAAGTGTTGATTCCACACCTAGACAAATAACCACTGCTGGTAAAAATGATAAGGATAGAGCTAATTCTACTCCTAAACAAGCTACTACTGCTGAGGAAAAAGCAATGGACACTGTGAACTCAAATCCTAAACAAAAGGAACCACAAAGTGTTGTATCATTGAGAACTCCTGTGACATTAAAGCAGCCTGCAATGGAACAAAAGGTAAAAAACTGAAACGATAAATTAACAGTGTGTGAAAGAACATACAATATTTCAAATATCTTGAATAAAAAGCAAATAAATAATGTGTAAAATAATTTCAGCATAAGTCCTTGTCTGGGAGTACTGTCCAGAAGGTCATTGAGAAATGTAGCCAACTGAACTCTGGGTCCAAAGAAGAGCCAATTTCTATCAGAAAGGTATTTTAATTTTGCTCACACATTTTACTGAGATAAAATTGTTTATAAAAGGAGTTAGCCTGACACTACCTATTAAGTATTATTACAATTTTGAAGAACAGATGTACATGATTATTTTGAAGCAGCAGTATTATTAAATTTCACCTTTCCTGTTGCCCAAGGCAGTGTGTTTATGTTGTATAAACATTAGGCATTTAATTATTGAATAAACACAAACTCATGCCAAACAGTACTTGGTATGCATCATGATAAAAAATGTTTTTTAATATGTAACTTGAAGAATAAAGTATTTGAAATGTAATTGAAATATACATGACATTTTTGGAATGTATTTAAATACAATCAATTACATGTACTTGTAATTGAAAGCAAACTCAATTACAAATACTTTCAATTTATAGTATGAAAAAATGTATTTAAATACAGTAAATTACAATTACTCATCTCAATTACCCCATCCCTGCTACTTAACTGCAAATTTACATACATGTATGTGCAAAACTGTCCCAAATGTATTGCATACATTGTGCCTTTTATGTTTTTATTTATTACTAAAAAAATTATATTACAATTTTCATCTGAGATTAGCAAACTGATTAGTTATGAAATATGTTTGACAGACACTTCCAGAGGACTACAGACCAGTGGTTAACACAACCCTGTTACTAGATGACTTGTCACCTGACAGTTTTACTCTGTTGGAAGCAGACAATTTCTATGGACCAGAGATTCTTGTCACTTCTGGCTCTCACTGCTTTGTGGTGTCTGTGCCTTTCTTCTAAATTCAGACTTCTGAATATTTGTGGAATGTTTGGACATTCAATTTGGAACATTCTTTTAGTGGACTACTGCCGCAGTCTTTCATTGACATTTCTGTGATACTTATTTTGAAAGTCTTTCGATTTTTTTTTTAATATACTTTTTGAGCCCAGTTGATTTCAGGCATATGACCTCTATATGGGATCAACATGTTAAGAGCACATGCATTGGCCATTATAGTATGTGTATTGTAATTCAGGAGCTTTAAAATGCCTTTTTTAATAATGATTGTGCCAAATGATTTATTATTTCTTGAATTTAAAAATATCTGCATATTTAAAAAAAATCATTTGTGTTGTTAATTATTATATTTGCTAATAAAATTGCATATTTTAAATATAGTGTTTCTATTGGATGACAGACTTTCATCAAAACTTGGCTGATTCAATATTTCCATATCGCAAGGTACACAATGAAGCCAGTCTGAAACAAGAGATAGCATGACTGAATTCTAAAAATGACACCTCTATACATTCTTTTTCCCAGGTTTTTAAAAATGTTACAACATTAAAACACAGAATTAAGTTCAGTACAATTTCTCGTAAATACTAGTAACAATTTATAATGTAAAACAGATTTTTCAATTAATTTTAAAATAACGATAAACTCCAATTTAAAAAATACATTAATTGAGCTGAAGGTACATGTAATACAACAAACAGAATGCATAATCATTAGATCTAGACAATTTGCAGACATACGTCATGTACAGTAATCAGTTATTTCAAAATATTTTTTAGTTTGCTTGATACACTATGTCCAGTACATGTAGAACAAATACCTATTCTGTTTTCAATTTTGATATTTTTCCCCGACTGAAAATAGAGCAAGCTGATCATGCAGCATGGACCAAGTGTATCAAAGTGCTAGGCTTTGAAAAAAGTTAAGAAAATGAATAGTGGTTGATCTAAAACAAACATCTGTGAACACTGACCCCTGGAAATTCCAGAGGCGGGATCAGGTGCCAAGGAGGAGTAAGCATCCCTGTTGACTGGGCACACTGCTTTGAGCCCTATGTATTGATCAGGAAGACAGAACATTGTGAACCAGACATGAATTATGAACTTTTTTCTGACAGTGACCTTGAACTTGCACAAATGACCTTGAGTCAAGGTCATGACACACCTTCAGGTCATAAACAATCTTTGTGTAAAATGGGAACTCGCCAAGTTTATCTTTAAGAAAGACATAGACTGGACCTGAATTATTACTTTTTTCTTTCAGTGACCTTGAACTTGCCCAAATGACCTTGGGTCAAGGTCATGACAAACCCTCAGGTCAGGAACAATCTCTGTGTGAAGTTGTAGATTCTAATGTTCCCCGTAAGAAAGTTATGGACCAGACGCATTTGCACAGACAGATGGACAGAGTTAGACAGACAGATGGACAAGGTGATTCCTATATACCCTCCAAACTTTGTTTGCGGGGGAGGGGGGAGAGGGGGTATAAAAAAAAAACAACTCATGCAGATTTATATGTTATTGTTTATTTGACAACACACAGTGGAGATATAAGGTAATATAGGTGTAAGATTCGATACGTATATAGTTCAAAGTCATTGTACTTATAGTACGCTTTCCAATGGCTCAGCAATCCAGAAAGAACTCACTCAGTTCTTGATTCACAGAATTATGAAGTATATATCAGATTTGATTAGTATAAGCTTTCATTGTCATTTCACCTTAATATTCTCAAAGATGGATGCAATAAAACAAGTACTCAAATTTATATGTTTGTTTATTTCATCTCACATCGTGCTGATTTACTCAATATGTTATTGTTTAGATGATTCACATTGTGAAGCATTAAATAAAGTTCTACTGTCATTTCTTTGCATTACTCTTTAAGTGAGCGTCTCGGAGAAAACCATGCAAAACAGTCCACAAGCAGGGTTTATGTATTGATATCAAGTTTTGTGTGCAATATAGTATTGATATACCATTAAATTTGCCACAAATATTTTCGTCATTGTTGCCTTAGTTCATGACTTAGAGGCATGTTACTAAAAATAGAACATGTAGTCAAACTAGGAGCTTGAAATCATTGAATCTAGACATATTTGAGGAAGTCTCAACAAATTATGACATTTCATGCATTGAAATTAATTGATAGGCATAAAAGTATGTTGCCTAGAGTATCAGTCAGGATAGTAAAATTTATTCAGTACTTATCCAGTTTAAGTACAAAAAGGTCACAAATCTTCCAAAATTCACATTTCCAAAAAATTCATATATTTATGAACTTTCAAAGTATTTTTAAAGATTCTGTAAACACTGCGATTTGTTTTATTGTAATTACACCTGTAAGTACAGACCATAATTAGGAAGATATAAAAAATCTATCTTTGGACTCTTTCAAATAGGGCAGATATGAGGTCACGAACAGTGCTATGTTTTGACGTATTGCAAATCATAATAAACATTGTAAAAATAGCTCATATCTAGTATATCATAATTTAACTGGAAATGTTTCAGCATGTCACTTTATAATATTTCAAAACAAACAGGACAACTGTAACACAATTCTACATAAAAGGAACTTAAATACATTTTAATGCAGAACATATATGTTGTCATGGGTAACAATATCATCTTGGTATGTTTTCTTTAAAAACATCAAATGGCTGTTATTTATTAAACTTATTTTTACAGGAAAAAGTATTATTGTGTGGTATTAATAAATATTCTATATAAAAAGGCAAAGTGTTTAAAAATATTAAAAAATTTATTTTTGCCATTTAAATATAAAGAACATGTTGCCATGGAAATACCATATTCTTGGAGTTTTATCATTTTCTTTGAAAAGGATGAAAATTTCTTTAATCAATTTATTACTCCTCTATCAGAAAATCATGAAAACAAGTCCAATATTTACAAACATTTAAAATAAAACATTGGTGTACAGATACAGAAAAAAAATATGTAAATGTTGCCATGGAAACATCATACATTTTACATTTTTTTTTCAATTTTTCTGAAATCCCCTCCCCCCTCCCCATGATAATCTTCAAATCTTTACTTTTGCTATTACATATATAATCTGACTAAAAAGGACTATTATTTGTGTTATGAAATAGACACAAAAGAACATGTTATACTAACATAGCATGTAAGCTACCATAAAAATGTTTACCATGGTTACCAAACAAAGCAAAATATCAAGTGTTTAAATTAGAAATACATATATGCTAATATATTCATATGCTAAGTGCATTTCATGAAATGCTGGAATTGTAACTTGTATCTTTAGAAATATCTTTAACAATTAGAATAAAATTGCAGAAAATAAACTTTTCACACCTACATGTTTATCAAATAGGTTGCCATGGATACACAAAATTACGTATTTACAACATTTAACACATTTTCAGATTTTAATGCCATAATCAATCGCCGTTTCCTCTGCTTTTCTGTAAAGGTGGTTTCCCAGAGTGAGATGTTTCTCGAGATTGGCAGACCTTACATACTGTTTCTGACAAGAGGGATCTGGACATGAATACAATTCATCGTACAGTTGTCTCTGATCCAGGTCCTGCTCACTGACAGCTTCATTTCTGTTGTTAAAGTTTCTTTTTCTCATACGAACTTGTCCAGTATCAACTGCATGGGACGGAAATTCTTCTAAAACCTATACCAGAAAAATCCATAATGCATTAGTAATATTTAACTAAAATAATAGAAATTCTACTGTATATTGTAGAATTTAAAAAAAAAAACAACTATTTAAAAAAAATTTGTTTATCCATACAAAAAAGTGATTGTATATTTATTATATAGATTTGTAATCATAACAAATACCTGGAAACCCTTCATTTCTCTAACATCAAGATGTTGATATTTCAAGGGATTTGTCTCGATGAGCCTTCCACAACCAACCTGGTATGCCTTTCTCATAATTACTGAATCCACATTAAATATGAAGTTGTTCAGAAGGCTATTCTGGAGGATTGGGGATTTTATTTTTGGTTCCTCTGCATTGTCAATGGAGACAACACAAGCTTTAGTTCCTTTCAATCCATGATTGCTTTCTAAAGCTCTTTTCAAGTCTCTATGGCGAGTCCAACAAATTTGTTCACACCAATCTGATAGTAAAATAATGTGATCTTCTAAACAAATACTTCTTTTTTGATATAAAAATTAAATTTGTCAGGGATGGCACAAGTTGCATGTGCAATAATGCACTAAACTAGAATGGACTATTGCATAAGAGATATTACATGCAGCACTTTAGTTTCAGAATTTCACGAGTTTTACAACAAATGTACAAGTGCTTTTCACCTAACAAAGAATTTTGTCTTATATGTAATAAAATTATTAAGCATGTTGCAAAGTCCTTGCTCATACTCAATTTTTTCCTCAAAATGTCAATATTTTGAATCTGAAAATTGCTAGCTAATGTATACTTAACAAATAGTATAATTAGTAATTACTCCATGTATACATATGCTCTTTAAACTTAACTTGAATTTATTATCTAAATTTATTCTACTGGAATAAATATTTCTTTCATACACATAATTCAATGCAACTTTTTTTTTTATAATCATTTTATTGAAAATATGATAACTACTAACTAGGTTCATAATAATTATAACCAACCTGAAACTATTGGTAATATTTGTCTTGTATTTAACCAGAGTTCTTTACAAATTGTTGGACTGGCTCCTCTGTCTGCTTTCATGTTTCCCTGATGACCATTAGGAACAGGTTCTCTTGGGTCTTTTCCATCGTGCCCCCAACTCTTCATGGTGCTTTATACATATTCTCGTTGAAAGAACGGTTTTATCAACCGTGAAATACCCACTTCGATATAATATTAATATATACTCAGGACATACGTGAGCATCATAAACATGCTTGTCTATTATTTCCGCACTTTGTAGAGAATATAGATGACTCAAGATATCTATGTCACATTCATAAACATAAAAAGTGTTTGCAAAATTACAATCAGATTCTCCATTATGAAAGTCACACACAGTAGGGCATTTGGTCGACAGTGCTTGTAAATGAACATCCATTTCCATTTATAAATGTATCAAATTAATCAGAAAAATCTTGGAAGTCATTTTGATTAAAAAGATCAGACCACATAGATCAAAAAAGTTGCATCAAGTCCATTCTGATAAACCATGTTTTGACCTCCATTTGACTTCTCTTCTCTTTTCTACCTCCTCTGCCTGGAGATTGCATTTAAGGGGAGGTAAATCTTATAAATAATTTTCCATAGAAACAAAACTTATCTACATGATTTAGACATGGAAGATATTGATCTAACAAGTATTTATGACCAGAAAATATATTTTTAAAATTAATTCAAAATTTAAAAAGCATTTTAAGGTCTCGATGTCTAAAATATGAATAAATTCAAGAATGACTTAGAATATGTCATTTCATATATGTATATATCAATTTTTATCAATTGTGCAGTAAACTTTGAGAGTCCAAAGATGGATTTTCTTTCAGTTTCCATTTAGGTCTTCTACTTCTATAATCATGTGAAATAGACAAGATGCAAGCGTTTACAGGTATATTTATACCTTACTCAAAGTTAGCATTTTCTTTAATATCTGGCAGTGGTATCGATATGCCAGTTTTCTAAATTCTGCCTGATCTTTATAAAAGCAGTACTATTAATTCAACTTTGTTTTACTGAAAATATAAGACATAGCTAACTTATATCTGAGTAAAAAGTTTGTATGAATTGTTCTCTTATTTTTGTATTTTGGTACTCAAAATGTATCATTTTTGGTATCTTTTTTACAATTTTCAAAGGATATTTGGACCAATACTTAGAGTAGGTCAAAGCTAAAAATAGAACAACATTGAGGGGCAATTGAATTCAAAATTTGGACTTTCATGGGAGGTTCTTCCAGTTTTATACCAGTTTTAAAATATCTGAGATGTAAGCTTGTGGACCACTTTTGCCATTTTGCATGGTTTTCTCTGAGACGCTCACTTAATAAGATGACTGCAATAAAAAGTACACAGATTTACATTCTTTTTGTGTATGTCAAATTGTGAAGATTTACACGTTACTGTTTACTGGATATCATACTGAAAAGAAAATGTGAAATCAACTATACATATCTCAGAAAAACTATAAGAAGCAAACATCATTTATTGCAAGTACATCTATAAAAGAAAATTGGTATTAAAACAAATAGACAACAAAACAGACATTGAAGGTAACATTATAATTGTGTTTGATCCTTAACACAAGGTCAAAGATCCTTTATACAAGTTCACAAATCCTTAACTCAAGGTCACAGTTCCTTCACACAAGATCCCAGTTCCTTCACACAAAAGGTCCCAGATCCTTCACACAAGGTCACAGATCCTTTATACAAGTTCACAAATCCTTAATTTAAGGTCACAGATCCTTTACACAAGATCCCAGATCCTTCACACAAAAGGTCCTAGTTCCTTCATATAAAACATCCCTGAGATCTTTCACACAAAAGGTCCCTGATCCTTTACATAAAAGTTCCCAGATCCTTCACACAAAAGGTCACAGATCCTTCACACAAAAGGTCACATATCCTTTACACAAAAGGTCACAGATCATTCACACATCCTTCACACAAGTTATACATATCCTCCAGCAATAAATGTCTCAATGTCTCTCCACATAAAATTCTTTTGATCCATAACATACTAGTAAACTGATTTTGATGTGTTGCAAAGCTTCCTACTGAGACAGCTCAGATGATTTATTTCGATGTGTTCTATAAAAAAGTGAAAAATTGTCAGTTTACTACCAGTATTGATTAGGATCTGAAATAACTAGGAAATAAGGTAAGCTATACCGAGTTCAAACGAAATAAAAACAAACATTTAGATTTTAACATTGAAATAAGAAACCCATAGGCCTTCACAGTCACCAGTTTCTGAGCCACAATATGTGTTCTTTTTTATCTACTTTTAACCTGTATATTTCTAATCGGTATCATTTTTTGGCTCCAAATGGCTATGATTTAGACAAAGTCAAATTTACATAACATAAGGAAATTTCTGTAATGATCTGACAATTTGGTCATATATGTATGGAGAAGATTTTAACAGAATTCCTTTATAAGACAATATTATACAGACTTACACACTCTCCGGTCCCTCTCTTTCTGATTTGATTATGAAGTACACAATACTGACTGCATTTGAATTTGACAATGTCTAAAGAGAAAAGTTTTTTCCCTTCATATTCTTGGGAAAATAATAGACCCCATTTCTGTTGTGGTAGCCATGATGTCAATAAACTCAATTCTTTACCAAATGAATAAATTACAAATAATGGACAATTTGTAGCATTGTAGTTCTTGAAAAGAAGAGTTTAAAAGATAACATACCCAGTATATTTCCTACGTATCACTCTAATAATTTTAAACTATAACACTTAAGTAAGGCAAAGTACCAAACTAATAACCTAGTAGTGTGCATCCATAGATGTAAAATTTATGCAGTTTTGCTCCAATAGGGCTCACAGTTACTTGGGAATGGGCTTACCTAAAACCTTTAAACTAGTCACTCATCCAGAAAATGTAAGTCATATTCAGCATCTGAAGCAAGTTTGAGAGTGTTCATCCTGTGATGCATTATCCATGCAAGTTTGGTTCAGATAGCCCTTAAAGTTTACTTTAACCTGGTCACTCATCTGGAAAATTTCAGTCAGATACAGCATCCGAAGCAAGCCGGTAGTGTGCATCTTTAGGTGTATCATCCATGCAAGTTTGGTCAATATAGGGCTTTAAGTTACTTGGAAATGAGATCTGCTCTAAAAACTTTAACGTGGTCACTCATCTGGAAAATGTAGGTCAGATCCAGCATCCGAAGCAAGTCCAGTAGTGTGCATCTTTAGATGTAACATCCATGCAAGTTTCGTTAATACAGGGCTTATAGTTACTTGCAAATGAGACCTTCTTCAAAAACTTTAACCTGCTCTAAGAACTTTAACCTGTTCCAAAAACATTAACCTGGTCATTCCTCAGCTGAAATTGCAGCATTTGAAACCTTGACTGGTACAATGAAACATACTAGAAGCATCCTCCATGCATCTCTGATTAATAAAGGGCACAGATGTACTTGAAAATAAAACTTCACCAAAAACTTTAACCTTTGATGCTGATGCTGAGGGTATTACATAAGCTAAAATGAGGTAAAGGCATCATGAAGCAAAGACATGGGGGTGAGAGTGGGGTGGCAGAGTGCAGGGTTGAGAAATTGTCTTTTACCTTTCTTTTACTTGCTGATGATGGTCTCATCTTCACTCTGGAATTGAAGCCAGTCTTAATGTATGTCAATAATCCAAAGAATATGTTAATATTAATTTTATTTTATTAATATTAATAATATATAAAGAATAATTAATTTTAGATGATTGCAGATTTTGAGGAATTCCTTCTTACTGTTACTTCACAAACTGGACAAGTTGAACCTCTCTCTTGATTCACTTCCTTGAAGGTGATGGTCTCCCATTCAACCTGAAATCATTTAATTTCTATAAAATAATTGATTCTGATTGGATAAAAAATTCTTTTGATTACTGCATCAATAGAATTAGGAGTTCACTTGCACTTAGCAGCCGGAACTAATTTGGCTGGCTTTTCATGTATATTTCCCACTTCTAGATTACTTTATGAAAGAAAAATAAAATGCATTTACTCTCTTTTCCTGAATTTCAAAACTTATCCGTTACGTTCCTGAGTTATTTTCTACTTTCGTTTCTTTTCGAATTATCCCCCTTTGCTAAACAATTCAGATCGTCTGCATGACAACAATGCAGTTGCGGAAAAGAAGGAAAGAAATCATCATATGTATGTTTAATGTTTATCTTTGTGATAACTGGTATGAATAATACAACTGTGAAAAAATGTTTTTATGCTACCAAAGCGGGGAAATGCCACTGAGCAAGCACGGAATTCTTTCAATGTTCACAGTCGACAACAGACTCTTCAAGATTTTACAGCATGTTGTGTTATGCATGGACAGGTTGTGATACGTATTTATTTGTTCGGTTTGAGATGAAGAGATGCGCAAATGAAATCCAAAATTTCTGTGACCTAGAAAGAGTTGTTAGGGTTCTCTTTGAGTAGTTTCCCTTTGCATTTACGAACCTAAAGATATATCAGCTTACCGGGGAAAATATACCCACTGGGATATAGCAAAAATTAATAACACAACAGGTAAGTTTTTTGTGTTAAACTGTTATTGTTAGACAGTGCTGGTATATGACACAACAATATTTGAGAACGTTGTTTCTTCGTTATGTATTACTATGCATCTGAAAATTTAGGTAGCCTAACTAAGGTAGGCCTGTATGTTGGACAGTCATTCGTTCTCAGGTAAAATTCATCATTGAAAGATAAATATTAAATGATAAGATATAAATCTTATAATTTTTTCTTTGCTCGATGTTTCAAAGAAACTTGAAAGAAAAATTCCATCAATGCGTGTAGATCTATACATTCAGCAATTTTGAATTTCAGAAACGTTGTTGTGTTGTATACCTATGCACAGTCTTTGATGTGTAAATTAAATATTAAAGTGAAAGAAAGTTTCATTTTATTATTTTTAAATCATAATTAAATGATAAGAAATGAAAGCAATATTTTTTTCTTTGACTGAAGTATCAAAGAAAAATTTGGACGGAAAACGTTTTCATCAATGCACTACGCGCATTGATGACATTTTCCGTCCAAATTTTTCTTTGATACTTCGGTCAAAGAAAAAAATATTACATTCATTTCTTAAATACAGGAATTCCTTATCCTGCTTTTATAAAATAGAAAGAAATTTTTAAAATTTGCAATCTTTCTTAAAAATAAGTCATAAAAAATATGAATCTTACCATTAATATTACTTCAATGGTTGGCTGTAGTCCATCCCTGCTCTCTGTACTCCTGTTAACAAAAAAATGGAGTCATACTAGTCATACCCCACAGGGGGGTCAAAGCTTGCCTTAGCCATACTCCTGTTGATACAGAAAATCAGAGATAAAGGAGTACTCTAGCTGCTTTGGTCAAAATATAATAGAAATCAGGGATTCATATGTGCCAAAAAGCAGTACATTACTTACCACTTTGGCCAATGTTGACTGCTGGACATAGCTGGGTAAAGACTCCTCTTCATCTGCTAGTCTACCTTGGTCCTCTTCTTCATGTGTCCTGCTGCTCTGTGTCCTTTCAATTAGAAGTCAACAAGTCAAATTCTGATCCAAACAACTTCAATTTACAAGAAGTTCAAGGAAATTATGCAGAAAGGAATACCCAATTCTTACTGCATCTTCCAATAATGGCTGCAGGTGAATGGGAGGTGAAATCTTCTTCAGCACGGGATCCCAATCTGCCTAACTCTCCTCCATCTAATAAAGGAAATCAAAAGTCAAAGACATTCAAGTAAGACAGAGTATTAAAAATTCACAGAGTGCAAAGAGCAAATAAAGATTGTATCTTACAGTCACTTCAGGAATTGGTCACAGTCCAATCCTCCATTCTAATCAAAGGTTGAGAGAGAGCAAGATGTGAACATTGTGTTCTACTATCAGGTATTGGATTGGCCACAGCCTATCTCAGAACTCTTCCTAGCAGATCATGGTTTGCTTTTTCTTAACCTTGTACCTGAAACCAAAGAATCTTTAGAGTTCATAGGAAAATTAAGACTTCCTGGACACAGTGAGAGTCCCAAAAATGGTCAGGGTGCAAGATTTATGTGTACAGATTGTATATCTTACTGTACTCCAAGAGGTGACTTGATTAGATCTCTTCATTTTGGACTCTACTTCTACTATTTCATGTTTCCCTTCAAATCAACGTTAACCTAACCCTCCATCTGTTGACAAAAAAAGTCAAGCATTCAATAATTATTAAGGCTTCTTCAGCGCAGACAGTAATATGATTCAACAGAGTGCAAGATACAGTACCAACCAGACCCAACCTGACACCTAAGCAGTCCCAGAAAGCAGTCCCCGGGACTGCTTTGGGACCGCTCTGGGACTGCTGTGGGACTGCTATGGGACCGCTGTGGGACTGCTCTGGGACTGCTCTGGGACTTCTCTAGAAAGCAGACCCAGCAGTCCCTGGGACTGCTTTCTGGGACTGCTTTGTTCACTCATGCATGAAAAAGGTTCTGAGTGACATGATAGCTCCGCCCCTTGTGTATTCTGAATTTGCAGGCTCCCTGTTGTTGTTTTGTTTACTTTCAGCAGAGAGGTGTTTAAGATAAAGAATAAAAAAAAAACAAGGATTTTTTACAAAATTATAATAAGTAGAGATAGATATACATGTAATTACTAAATGTCTTCAGGGGCTGTAAATTTACACAATTGTAGTCTAGAATTAATTTTAAAAAATGAAAGTAGTTAAAAGGGAAGTCAGGAGATGACTTTTATCCTTTAAATTAAACTTTAATACAGGTGTTTGAAAAAAGTATATCTAGGCCTATTTAATTAATTAATGCTAATTAAAACTTTAATACAGGTGTTTGAAAAAAAAAATATCGAGGCCTATTTAATTAATTAATGCTGTCAAGTTACGGAATGTACTCAAAGTTTGCATTAGCACTATTTAAAAACAAACAAACAAACAAAAAACAAACAAACTTGTCATTACAATAAGACATTCAGAGGGACGTACTGTACTGGATTTTTTTTTAATTGAAAAAGCTAAAACCATATGCATGCTAAAAAAGAGCATTCCATGCTATTTTTTACCGCCCTCAACCTAATAATTTATTAAATGACCATGAAATAAAATTATTCTACCATTCTTCAGTCATTTAAAAAATTATATTTGTGAACAATTATTGGGGGATTTATTTATGAATTTGTTTTTGATTTATAAACAAGTAATTAAAAGAGTAAATTTATTAACATTTTAAAATATTGGGAATTGTGACTTATTTTTTATTTGTTTTGTTTGTGTTTTCCTGGCCGATTAATAAAAAGCAATACAAATGTATAAAATGGTGTCAACACCTGAAGTTTCAATCGCCTTCGGGCATGAATGCATGTTATTTGGGTATCAGTGTTACACATCACTGAACATGCTGGTCAACAATGACACTAATTTCAATCTATGTACTGCAAAAAATCTTCGTTTCAATAAATGTGTATAAATTAATTTTGGGATTAATTAATTTTGAACATAATCTGAGGGTTCCATTCGCGTGATTTACAGATGTACACTCAAACGTTTATATAATAAAAGTATTATTGTTTTCTGTTACATAGATAATTTAATGATAATTAAATTGGCAAGTCAATGAAAATAATCATGACTGAAATATAATACACAAAGAATGTTTCAAAAGCTCCAGTACTTAAGAAAACTGCATTCAGAGTATAGTATGGAAATCGGCCTTGCTGTATAATTATAAGGCCTATTTAAAGCTAGTTTTGATAGAAAATAAATAACTCAAGCTTAATTATCTATTAAAAATAAAAAAATAAATAAATATGGAAACCAATATCAATCACAGTAATTTAGAAATTGATTTATTTTGGTGAAAAATTAATATACCACAAAACTGTGTTTAAATATTCATGTTATTTATAGGTGTGAACGTCTTCTTTGTTCAATATTTATTATTTGTTTCTATACGCGTAGTGTGATTTTCTTAACAGTTAAAAAATGACTGTCGCATGAGAATTGATACTGCTCAGAAAGAAATGGATCATCAATTTCAACTGCCTTTTATAGTTACATTGTTTATTGGTAATCTCATTTCTGAGTAAGCTCCGCCCATTAAATTAATTAACTCCGCCCACTGGGACTGCTGGGACTGCTTTCTGGGACCGCTGGGACTGCTCTGGGACCGCTGTGGGACTGCTATGGGACTGCTTTAGCAGTCCCAGAGCAGTCCCAGAAAGCAGTCCCCGGGACTGCTCTGGGACTGCTTTGTGTCAGGTTGGGTCTGGTTGGTACTGTAAGCTCACTTTGTCATACTGTCACAACTTATATTGGTGAAATTGATCCCTTAACTTTCAAAGGCAAGTGATGGTCATGCTCTTCTTCTGGGCATTGAGACCAACCTGACCCTGTACCTGTTAAAAAAGAATGTGAAGAGGTCTAAGAAAGAGTAGAACTTCTTTGAGAGAGAAAGAGCAATAAAATTTGATGAAGTGCAAGACATACATGAACAGAATGTACACCTTACCGTCAAGTCTTGGATTCACCACAGTTGATGCCTGAACTCTTTGCACAATTTCTGGTGGGTGACAATCTGCACTTCATCAGGATCCAAACCAGTCTAACCCTGATCTGTTCTAAAAGAATGTCAAGAGGTCAAAGAAGTGCTCAGACTATAAAGTGAGAAAAAATGGTGGAAGTAAGACATTCATATTGCATCTACCATCACTCCTCAGTTTGGTTGCACTGGATTCCAGAACAATAAGCACTCTCGCACTCAGAACAGTTTTTTTTAGGCCAGGGAATGGACGACTGACTTTTCAGGGTTCATTCTGGACTTAAATGTTGATGGACATATGGCCCATCATCATTGTTAAAATCCATGGGCCAGATACTGAAGGTATGGGGGGGGGGGGGCAAAGCCCTCCCAGAATCATAAGTCATATTTTGCTACTTTATGACCAATTTCAATTGCTCAGTATCTTAGGGTTGTTACTGCTTTTTCTGCAAAGTCAATTTCAGTTTTTCAAGATTAAGTGTAAAATGAAAGTCTTAATTTTTCCCTTTCAAGGACATTCTACACAGAAATAAAAATGTCACTGAAGAAAAAAAAATTTAAATACAGATGACAACAATTTGATGAACAGAATAGCATTTACTCAATTTTTAACTCTTTTGCAGAGTTGGTGAAAGAGCAAAAAAATCAACTGGTAAGCATGTTTTACAAATTTTGTCAATTAATTTCAAAATCTGTAGGACATTCTTAAAATCTTCAGAACATGTCAATAAAGATTTTGAAGAAAATCAAACGATTAATATACACACTTTATGTGTAAAAACATTTTGTTATTACATCATGTCATTTTATCCAACTCAGTTATTAGTTCATAAATTATTAAAAATCTTAATTTTAAGTAGGTCAGAAAAAAATAAACAAGAGGCCCATGGGCCACATCGCTCACCTGAGCACTTTGGCTAGGAAAAAGCAGTTCAGTATTGAAAAGTTTAAATATAAAATATAAAAGTGGTTTCTGATTGGGGGTTATGATTTGAACGAACTTGAATCTACACCACCTGTTTTTGAATTAATATGACTAATAATGGCTTTGCTGTTCTTAAGACAGAATTTTTATTGATATATCCTTTATATTCCTTTGTATAACTATGATCCCCTGTTATGGCCCCTCTGTACTCCTGGGGGTCATCATTTGAACAAATTTAAATCTACATTACCTGAGGATGCTTTAATTTTATTATGATCAATCATGGCCTTGCTGTTCTTGAGAAGAAAAAATTTTCCCCGTGTATTCCTATGAAAAACATTGATCGCCCACTGTGGACCCAACCTACCCCCAGGGGTCATGACTTGAACAAATTTGAATCTACACAGCCTGAGGACGATTCCATATAAGTTTCATATTTTCAAGCACAGTGGTTCTTGAGAAGATTTTTTGAAATGATGTCATTAATTTTTAACTAATTCGTAATTCTCTCAGCTTGAAAGAAGGCATGGCCCTTCATTTGAACAAACTTGAATTCCCTTAATCCAAGGATTCTTTGTGGCAAGTTTGGTTGAAATTGGCCCAGGGGTTCTTAAGAAGAAGATGCATGGCAATGTGAAAAGTTTACACAAGGACGACAACAAGGATGACAGACAACAAAAAATTTTGATCAGAATAACTCACTTGAGTCTTCAATATCATTATCATATTGTTTGGTTAGTTTCAACAACCATGTATTTGCATCCCAAATCAAGTAAATTGAGTAAATTATATGTCATAAATTATTACAAGATATTGAAGTCACTGGTGTCATGTGCATTGAAGCATATAACTAACCCTTTCGATTGTCAATTCTGAGTGAAAGAAGATGGGTGAACATGACGAGCAAAAAGCCTTTAGTGTGACAAACATTAAGGTGAAAAATTAAATCTCAATTAGATCAAAATTTTCCTTGATATATAATCTAACATTAAAATATACTTTATGTAAAATCTCTACAATTTGCAAAAATCTCACAAAGATTGAAATTATTTGCTTATGAAATATTGTACACACACTAAAGAGGGCAAAAAGAGTCATTTTCTCATTCTATAACACTATTTTTCGATATGAGTGGGTCTTCGCTCCATTTTTTTGAAAGTTAATCCTCGAAGTTTGCATAAAAATATACATTTTTTGGTTTCCTAAAATATGGAGCAAAGACCCACTATACCTTAAAAATATACTTTTATGACATATCATTCGCATCTTTTTGAGAAATACTTGAAGTCCATTAAGTCAAGGATCATATCACAAACATGATTTAAATGCCACTATTCATCAGATCTTGCGTAGTCTAGTGGTTAGCATGCTAGTCTCGAAAGAAAATGATACTCAGGATTTTTATTAGGGTTCGAACCCCCATGAATATCACATTTTTTTAATTTACCGGTAAGAATAAATTTTCCAAGAAAATTTTCCTCAGAAAAGTTTTATTTATCATAATTTCGCACATTTCAATAATGAGAACTTTACTCTAAATACTGAATTCACAAACTGAACATGATTTTTATATATTTGAAGCTATAGGCTTTCTGCACGCTATGTTCGCCCATCTCCTTCACAAGATAATCAAGCCACATTTGTTTACACAAGCAGTACACAGATGTTCTTCATGTAATCAAAATATATCAGTTGCACTCAACCAGATGCTCTGCTGTATCAAATATTACATGACAAGAAGAGTCTGGATGAATAAGACATTGTTGAAGGAATATAAAATTTTGATACCAATCGTTCCTGATGGAGTTTATTTATATTATGATTGGTCATATAAATAAAATTTGGGGCCCACACTAATACATGAAATAATACGTGGCATTAAAACATGTGCCAGACAGACCCCCAATCTCAATTTCAGTAAGTCATTTACAAATGGTGTGCAAAGGCACATCCCCAAGTGATCCCTGTTTTAATCGCTTTCTAAAGGACAGAAATACAAGTGATCAAAATGATTGCAATCCTAAATAAGTGAAATTGGCAATAGTTCCCTGCATCCTGTCAATTGGAAGTCAAGAGGTCAAGGCCTGACAAGGTCAACTTTCCATTGGAAATTGAAAGGTCATCAAAGGGTGCAAGAAGTAGAGTCTTAATCTTACCGCATCTTCCGGTGACAGCTGCAGTTGCACTGAAGACACTCTCTCTCACTGTGGGATGCTGCTCAGCCTTCATCTCCTCCTCTGCCAACAAAGCAAAACCAAGGCGTCAAGGTAACATGTACACTTCATACTAAGTGACAGTCATACAAGTGCATACAGAGTGCACGTGCAAAGAGCAAGTCAAGTTTCAATCTTACCCTCACTTCAGGGGGTTGCCCGCAGTGGACTCTTCTTCTGTCTGATGCTTTCCTCTTCACCTCTACATCCGGCACAGCCTAAGCTTCCACCTGTTGTCAGAAACAGTCAAATGCTCAGTAACTTGCAGAGATTCTTTTGACACGGACACAGAAAAAGCACAGAGGTGCAGCTGCGTCTTACCCTCGCGTCTTGGATTGGCCGCAGTCCATCGTTGAACTCCGGTCGGCAGGTTACGGTCTGCTCCTTCTGCGGAACCACAGCAGTCTTACCCTGTACCTGTTAACAGGGATGTCTACAGGTCAAATCAAAAGTAAGGCTTCCTCATCAAGGAGTAACCAAAGTCGACAGACGAGTGCAAGATGTACACATTTCACAGCTCACCGTCAATCTTGGGTATCAAAAGCGCAACAAAAAGGCAGCTTGTTACTTACCGCTTTGGCCAATGTTGGCGGCTGGACACAGCTGGGCAATGGACACCCCATCTTCTCTTGCTCGGCCCTGGTCCTCCTGCGTCGTCCCTGAAAATATACAACTGACAGAAGATTAGTAAAAATTCAAAACAATGCGACAAATCACAGAATTTCATGTAAACACAAGCATTAAAAAGTAGTAGAAAAATAAGTTTAGCTGATGAAGACAGTTAGGTCAGGAAAGGGCATAAGAGGGGAAAGGGTGGGGGAGGAGGGGGAAGGTTAGTTATGTTAGAGTAGGGAGGGGATAGGAGACAGAAGAGACAGAGAGGAAGAAATGCAGAAAAGCTTCTCTATTAGGCTTCCTGGTAGCGGAATGAGCTCCTCTTCCTTCTACTGGTGATGGGCCCTGCTTCCCTGCATCCTGTCAATTGGAAGTCAAGAGGTCAAGGCCTGACAAGGTCAACTTTCCATTGGAAATTGAAAGGTCATCAAAGGGTGCAAGAAGTAGAGTCTTAATCTTACCGCATCTTCCGGTGACAGCTGCAGTTGCACTGAAGACACTCTCTCTCACTGTGGGATGCTGCTCAGCCTTCATCTCCTCCTCTGCCAACAAAGCAAAACCAAGGCGTCAAGGTAACATGTACACTTCATACTAAGTGACAGTCATACAAGTGCATACAGAGTGCACGTGAAAAGAGCAAGTCAAGTTTCAATCTTACCCTCACTTCAGGGGGTTGCCCGCAGTGGACTCTTCTTCTGTCTGATGCTTTCCTCTTCACCTCTACATCCGGCACAGCCTAAGCTTCCACCTGTTGTCAGAAACAGTCAAATGCTCAGTAACTTGCAGAGATTCTTTTGACACGGACACAGAAAAAGCACAGAGGTGCAGCTGCGTCTTACCCTCGCGTCTTGGATTGGCCGCAGTCCATCGTTGAACTCCGGTCGGCAGGTTACGGTCTGCTCCTTCTGCGGAACCACAGCAGTCTAACCCTGTACCTGTTAACAGGGATGTCTACAGGTCATATCAAAAGTAAGGCTTCCTCATCAAGGAGTAACCAAAGTCGACAGACGAGTGCAAGATGTACACATTTCACAGCTCACCGTCAATCTTGGGTATCAAAAGCGCAACAAAAAGGCAGCTTGTTACTTACCGCTTTGGCCAATGTTGGCGGCTGGACACAGCTGGGCAATGGACACCCCATCTTCTCTTGCTCGGCCCTGGTCCTCCTGCGTCGTCCCTGAAAATATACAACTGACAGAAGATTAGTAAAAATTCAAAACAATGCGACAAATCACAGAATTTCATGTAAACACAAGCATTAAAAAGTAGTAGAAAAATAAGTTTAGCTGATGAAGACAGTTAGGTCAGGAAAGGGCATAAGAGGGGAAAGGGTGGGGGAGGAGGGGGGAAGGTTAGTTATGTTAGAGTAGGGAGGGGATAGGAGACAGAAGAGACAGAGAGGAAGAAATGCAGAAAAGCTTCTCTATTAGGCTTCCTGGTAGCGGAATGAGCTCCTCTTCCTTCTACTGGTGATGGGCCCTGCTTCCCTGCATCCTGTCAATTGGAAGTCAAGAGGTCAAGGCCTGACAAGGTCAACTTTCCATTGGAAATTGAAAGGTCATCAAAGGGTGCAAGAAGTAGAGTCTTAATCTTACCGCATCTTCCGGTGACAGCTGCAGTTGCACTGAAGACACTCTCTCTCACTGTGGGATGCTGCTCAGCCTTCATCTCCTCCTCTGCCAACAAAGCAAAACCAAGGCGTCAAGGTAACATGTACACTTCATACTAAGTGACAGTCATACAAGTGCATACAGAGTGCACGTGCAAAGAGCAAGTCAAGTTTCAATCTTACCCTCACTTCAGGGGGTTGCCCGCAGTGGACTCTTCTTCTGTCTGATGCTTTCCTCTTCACCTCTACATCCGGCACAGCCTAAGCTTCCACCTGTTGTCAGAAACAGTCAAATGCTCAGTAACTTGCAGAGATTCTTTTGACACGGACACAGAAAAAGCACAGAGGTGCAGCTGCGTCTTACCCTCGCGTCTTGGATTGGCCGCAGTCCATCGTTGAACTCCGGTCGGCAGGTTACGGTCTGCTCCTTCTGCGGAACCACAGCAGTCTAACCCTGTACCTGTTAACAGGGATGTCTACAGGTCAAATCAAAAGTAAGGCTTCCTCATCAAGGAGTAACCAAAGTCGACAGACGAGTGCAAGATGTACACATTTCACAGCTCACCGTCAATCTTGGGTATCAAAAGCGCAACAAAAAGGCAGCTTGTTACTTACCGCTTTGGCCAATGTTGGCGGCTGGACACAGCTGGGCAATGGACACCGCATCTTCTCTTGCTCGGCCCTGGTCCTCCTGCGTCGTCCCTGGTCCACGTCCCTGAAAATATACAACTGACAGAAGATTAGTAAAAATTCAAAACAATGCGACAAATCACAGAATTTCATGTAAACACAAGCATTAAAAAGTAGTAGAAAAATAAGTTTAGCTGATGAAGACAGTTAGGTCAGGAAAGGGCATAAGAGGGGAAAGGGTGGGGGAGGAGGGGGGAAGGTTAGTTTTGTTAGAGTAGGGAGGGGATAGGAGACAGAAGAGACAGAGAGGAAGAAATGCAGAAAAGCTTCTCTATTAGGCTTCCTGGTAGCGGAATGAGCTCCTCTTCCTTCTACTGGTGATGGGCCCTGCTTCCCTGCATCCTGTCAATTGGAAGTCAAGAGGTCAAGGCCTGACAAGGTCAACTTTCCATTGGAAATTGAAAGGTCATCAAAGGGTGCAAGAAGTAGAGTCTTAATCTTACCGCATCTTCCGGTGACAGCTGCAGTTGCACTGAAGACACTCTCTCTCACTGTGGGATGCTGCTCAGCCTTCATCTCCTCCTCTGCCAACAAAGCAAAACCAAGACATCAAGGTAACATGAACACAGAGATGGTCATTCTTTGTGGAAATTACCTCTGGTTAATGGTATGTCTAATTGCTTACCTCATAATTAACAAAATATATTTATTATTCGTCACGTTTCCTCCTCTATACAGTGGATATAGAAGAAAGGATATTGCTTTGTAGATGCATGTTTCTAGTTTTTTTTTATTGGAGTGTTTTATTGTAGTGTTTAATCTAAAATATACTAGTCACCAGCGTGGCTAAGTGTTTGGACATTTGGTCTAAGAGTTAGTAGTAAGGAGTTGATCCTTAAGTCCCGGGTTTGAATCCACTGTGTGATCAGAGACATGTTCTTCGGATGAGACTGTATAAACTGAGGTTCCGTGTCACAGTAAGTGCCCGCACGAAAAAGATCTCTCAATGCTTAATTGCCATAAGTGCTGAGTACATGTCTAAATTTGCATGCAGCCCTCCACTGGCAAGTGATGGTATCTCAATACAAGTGAAAATTTCTTGAAGGAATGTTAAACAAATAAACATAAAATACACCAAACATTCTATTTCTTTTCAGAAAAATGAGTAGCATTTGTTTCTGAACAAAAGATATCCCTGATAATAATACATTGTCAAAAATGAAGACAGGGCTATGCACATGTAATATTAATATTTCTTAGTTTTTATTTTAAGGTCAGACAACACACTCCTCAAATATATGTTTTGTATACCTTGGTATTATATAAAAAAAATATTCATATTCACTTGTGATATCTAAATTTTTTTTTTGAGTATTTTTTAAAAATATAAGTAAACAAAAATTGTGACACTGGCAATTAATTCAAAAGATTACCCATAAGGATTATATAAGGAATATCACCCTCTGGTATCTTGGCCAAATTAATGCCTGGTAAGGTACCTCAATTTTTGGTGAGGAAACTTTTTTAAGTAGCTATACTTATATTTAAGATGAACAAAAAAAAAACTTATTTAAAGTAACCCAACAACTCTTGTGAAATCACAGAATTTTAACCATAATTTGGCTTGAACCTGCAAGATTCTGACTTAAAATTCCAGCTGCTTTACCGACCGAAAGCCAACAGAAGCGTGGCTTCACTATAAACATCATTTATCCACTTTATATTATCAAGTCCCATACAATCACTTACAGCTATATATACATAAGTTGAATTACCTACATAGCTTTAATTAGCTCCTAAATCAAACTTATTTCTTAAATGAGCATTTTTTTAAGTGTGTAAAATAAAATCACATTTAATGCATTGAAAGTTTTCAACTTTGAACTGTTCGGGAAAAATGCATGAAAAAAATTGCTTTCCAAGATGTGTCTCTGTGAAAGCAAATGCATGCAACAAATTCAAAGAATTGCCCCCCCCCCCCCTTTCAGTGTCTTAGTGGATAGCATGCAATTATTTACAGCATACTGTAACTGTCTTTTTTGTGTGTCTTGTTTTGTCTGTCCATCATACAAAAAAAAATTATTATTGAATTAATAAAAGTTATGGCAAACATTTAAGTTTTTCAAAATTGTTTCAAATTTCAAGATCAACGTCCTGAGGTCAAAAATCATAATAAAATCCAAAAGGCCTTGTCAGAAGTAATGCACATGTGAAAAAAAAAGAAAGCTCTAACTGTCTCTTCTGGAGCAAAAGTAATGGCCATTTAAGTTAAAAGATTATTGATAAATAGGTCCAATGTTAATGTCTTGAGTCAAAATGATACACCTTTCTGAAAGGTGTTGTCATAGGTAATGTACATGAAATATATGACAGCCCTATCTTCTTTCATTCAAAAGTTATAACCAATGTAAAAAAAAAAAATGAAAAAAGACTGTAGATTAAACTTTAAAGTTAAGATCACAATGTCAAAAAACCAGAGTACATTCAGAAAGGTCTTGAAACAGGTAATACACGTGTTAAAACTTAAAAATAAATGTTAAACTTTTTGAAAAAATAGGTCAAACTTCAAGGTCATGCTCATGGGGTCAAATCATAGCATGTTCAAAACTGTCTTGTCACAGGTAAAGCACATTTCAAATATGAATGCCCTATCTCCTCTCCTTCAAAAGTTATAACCAATATTAAAATTTTTGAAAAATAAGTCAAATGTCAAGGTCATGGTCATGGGGTCAGAAATTGTAGTATATTTGGAAAGGTCTTGTCACAGGTAATGTACATGTAAAATATGAAAGCCCCATTTCTTCTCATTCAAAACTTATGGCCAAGGTACATGTAAAAGTATTGTTAAAATTTTTGATTAGTAGGTTAAACTTCTGGGTCACAGAGTCATAAGTCATAGTATATTTGAAGAGGTCTTGTCACTCATGGTGTATTTGGAAAGGTCTTGTTACAAATAATGTACATGGCCACATGTGAAATATGAAAGCCCTATCTTTTCTCATTTGAATGTTGTGACCAAGATTACAATGTTTGTGACAGACAGATGGACAGACTAACAGATGAATGAGATTTAATGTCTCCTCGCTTTTGAGAAAGCAGGGGAATATCATGCAGAGTTCTCTAAGTTTTAGGCCTATATATAACAGTTACTTTTTTAATCTTGATTGAAATAACCCTGAAGACCAATGCTGGTTAACAAGATGATTGATAACAATTCATCACAATGTGAATTAATTACATGTATACTTATATCCATACCTCACCACACACCAGATGTGTACAGTTATTCAAACAATGTGAAATACATTTTTTTCCTTAAAACTAAAGAAGCAACATTTAAACTATTGCTATAGTCCATAGTACAAATAAGTAGTGAAATACTTGCAAATGTTTGCCAATTTTGAATAAAAACCAGACTTGTGACAAACTTGCATAAAATACATGTAGCTTAATCAAGCTACATGTACTTCGAGTACCTTAATAAATCTACATATGTAATTCAAGTCACATATCTAAATGCAATGATTGTACTGAACCTGTTAATTATTATTTAATTAAAGTTTTCATTTAATGGTCTGAATAAGCCCGGTACTTGCTTTATCTACACTTTACCATTTAAACAGTCTTTTTAAACAAAATGGTCACTGGTATAGGATTGTTCGTTTTACTTTACCGTTAAGCCCACTGGCAAATCCATTAAACTCTTCAGATACGTTGCACATGCAAAAACAAGGTTAAATTATAAAAACTCAGTAAAATATATTTCTGCCCCTTTTGAGTAATCCTTATCTTGAAATCTTCAAAATCAGATAAATGCCTGGGAAAATACGGACCACCATTTTATCGAGAATACCGTTCAGCATACTGGAAGTGTGTAAAAATGTCCTTACTGTTAAATTTTTTTGTGGGGTGTGGGGGGGGGGGGGTGTGGGGTGGAGTGATATCCTGGTTAAAAAATAATATATATATTTATTGTACACATTTGATAGCTCATTCCTTATTTTGTCTGTAGTACACAAAGACACTGATTTCTTTTAACGAATTTCCATTGGCCACTATTCCTTTAACTTAACCATTAAGTTAAACTCATGGGCAAAACTAAGCAACAGTAATATCTTTCACATCACATACATAAATACTCACAAAAACTATCTATAATCTCTCCTCTTTATAAATAATTCGTGTCTTGCAATCTTTAGATTCAGTGGAATTATCTGGAAAAGGACTGCCCGCCATTACACTCTTGAATACTGTTCACGGAGCCGGAAGTGCGTAAAAATGTACTCTTTTATATTCTGATAATAAAAATCAAAATCTGCAGTTCTTTTAAACCGACAAGTCAATCTTATCTCAACATAATGTAATTTTGATCTTTTCTTCAATGATATATTTTTTAAAGTAGTGATGAATCGGAGAGAGAGAGAGAGAGAGAGAGAGAGAGAGAGAATTTATATAATTGGGCTGAAATCCCATCTTTCAATTGAAATAATTATACATGTAATGATAACTTCTGTGTACTTTGGGAAGCTCATAATTACAATAACCCTTAAGACAATTAAAAAAATTCCTGATTTCCAGAGAAACATTTTTCTATCGATTCAACAGAACCTAAACAAAGACACACTGTATTCAACAAAATCCTGTAACAGGCCCGTAGCAACGGTTTCAAAAGTGGGGGGGGGGGGACTTCCAAAAAAAATATCTGACAAGTAAAAAAAAAAAAAACTTAAACTGACCAAAAGTGAGGGAGGGGACAACTTCCCAAAATTATCTGACAAGCAAAAAAAAAAAAAACAAAAAAACAAAAAAACAAAAACAAAAAAACAACAAAAAAGAAGCTTATTTACTGTCCACATCCTGGAATTTGCCAGTACTCGACCTTACAACATCAAAAAAAGGGGGGGGGACCGACCCCCCGCGTTCTGCGGGCCTGAGTAAGCACCTGAGCACATCTGAACGCCACTAGCCTAAATTTGATACTTACCGGGTTACTCTTGGACTTCACTGGTTTGTGTGTTTATCTTTTTTTTAAATTACCTTTACTATCGCAAGTTTCAGTGTTTTACTGAATAATTAATTGCATGATTAAATCTTTGAAACTAATTCCAAAGTCCCTTCCTGTTACAGCGATCATAATAATCCCATGACAACTAGATAATTCATGCGAGCACGCACAGAAA